AAGAACAGGCTTAATGATTAATTAGATGGAACATTGTGGGTGTGGAGTATGAATGTTAACACCTTGTAATAATTCTTTAGTATATTACTTGTGTGGTGTAGAAGAGAATTATCTATGTAGAGATACTGCTTGCAAACCAATGATGGTAAGATGATGTCAGGGGGTAGGACTGGATAAGTCTGACTTCTTCCTACTCCATTCAAGCATGTAATAGGTATAAGCACATTGATATTGGATTAGCATTTGTTGGATATGTGTGTTGACATATCAACTGTTTTTACCTGCTTGAAAGAAAGAATAAATCAATATTTCCTTCACCTTACATTCCGCTTCCGTCCAGCTTTCTCCAGGTGACTCCTTGATTCTCTCGAAGATCGGGTTTTTTCGCTTGGACTGTACTTCCAAATGCTCCATTTTATCCGTTATGGCTATTAAACTCTCACAAGTTTTGTAGACATCATTCCTTGTTTCCTTGGTTTGTATTTTCTGTTCACCCATGGCTGCTTTAATCACATCCACATCTCGCTGGGTAAACTGCAAACTCGTTTTTATCTCCTGTATTTCTCTGGTCATGTCGTCGAGTCTCTTGTTATTTGTCTCCATAAGTAGTTGCACAAAACCTTTGAAGTTGTCTTGTTGTTGGCTCAACAGTGCAGTGTACATCTGCTTCTGTTGACTCAACATCTCTGTTACTTGCGCCGCTGAAATATAATCCTCTTCTGCCTGAACATCCTCGTTCGCTTCTGATTTATTAGCTCTTTTCCCTCTTGTGGGAATTTTAATAGTTGTAGAATTTGTTCAAAGACTTGAAAATGTAGAAGATGTGAAAAATCGTAGAACAGACAAGAGGAGCAGTAAACGTCTGCTCTCCCTTGCAACCCGGAAGGTTCTTTTTATGGACTGACCTCAGCAACAACTTCAAATCCAGTATTCACAGTATTTCCCAGTTTAACTGTCTTTATTGTCTTTGTGAATACAAGATGAAAATTAAATAATAAATATATTAATGTAAACAAACAAATCACCCCCCCAAACTGTGTGTTACATTAACATAGAGGTATTAAATTCAGACCTGTGCCATGTTAGAGGTATTATATCATACATATATACATAATTACTAAGCTTAAAAATCTTGATGGTGTTTTTATAGCTTTGGGACATCTGTGTGTAACATACTTGGCAAATAAAGGTGATTATTACTGTGGAACTGAAATCAGTGTTTCTAAATGTTTCAGAGAAAATAATCTGACTGTAAATGATGCTACAATGCTTTTCTTTTAAAACAGTCTGTACCCATCTTCCATTCCCTCCTACCTGGATGTCTCGGTTTAAAATGGCCTTAGTGAGTCTCTTCAGTGACGCGCACTCCTTCTCAGCGAAGCCGGCCTTCAGGTTGAGCAGAGGGATCCGGGACGTGTCTCTGGTCAAGGCAGCGGGGTGAGAGTACTCGAGCACCTTGAAGTCATTGTGGACAGCGTGGCCGACCACCACCTTCCCCATCAGCAGCCGCAGTATCTACAGTACCAGATAAAACATCTTGCTACACAACTATGTATAGTAACATACTGTATGGTCAGCTTGTAAAATATGAATTCAAACTCAAATGTGCAATAATTTCTCTTCAACAAAAATCACTGCAGTTTCTCTAGACTTTGTTGTTATGGCTGAATTCAATGAGCAATGTGATATTTTGGCAGTGGACAACACTGAGAAGCTACTATGAATTTCAAATAAAAGCCTGACCCTGTGCACTCTTATACTTAATGCAGCACAGCTCTGAATAAAACATGATGATGTTTGTCCCATAAGACAGAAAACAGACGAGCAAGGTTAAACAGAAAAGAACAAACCAGGAAACAACAGCACCAAGAGAGACACGGCAAATAGGCGTCTTTCTTCCTGGAAAAATGTGCAACGGCACATAACAATCATTGTCATTAATTTTATAGCCATTTTTATTTATTAGTTACTTAATTGTCTGCTTAATAAAATGTTGGAAAATAGGAATGTCCTACAGTGCAGACTGACTTGTTCTGTCTGATCAACAGTCCAAACTGTACAGAACCTTGAGAGACTTTGGTACTATGTTCTTTGTTTCCACGTTCTGGAGTTTGATTTTTCTTTAACATCTGTCTGAGACCGGGGCCGACACAAGCCGATCAGTTGGCCCAAGACAGGTGTCAAACCACTGTGCAGTCTCTCAATTTACTCACTGTGATCCCCCTGCCAGTCCAGAGAAACCTTCTGGTCCACTATTAGGCCTCAACCTGCTGACTTCAGCTCATTGTTAACGACCAATGACTGGTTGTCCTTGCTGATTGACAGTATATGGAGTTAAAAGGCAGTTCCTGCTGTCCTGTTTGTTGTTAGTCATCCTCGTTGTCGTGTAAGGACACATCTAGAGCTGAAACAAATCAGCTGACTGCTCAATTAGCGGATCAACACAAAAATAATTACCAACTATTTTGACTGACCCCCATAAAGCACCTAGAACTTGCCAAGGGCTCAAATGTTGTTCCTCAGACTTCAGAGAGCAGCAGAAACAAAGAAAAGCAAGTGGCTACACGTTCCATTTCATTATGCTACTGCAGTCTAAGTGCTGAGAGATGCAACAAAAAAGAATGACCTACCTCCTTCCTGGCCTGAGAATACGGCGTGGCCTTGACGAGGTCCCTGTGCCGGATGCCACTCCATCGGGTGCGGTAGTCAGTAACAGGCATGGAGGGGTTGACAAACTTGTCATAAACTATATCTCCTTCATAGGACACTATGCTGCAGCGTGCCAGCTGGCTGATGCTCCCCTTTGGCCCTGCGCCCACCATCTCACAGTCGATAGCCAGGTACTTAGTGGGGACTGCTGCAGATGTGGTGGTGGGTTTACAACTGCTGGATACTGAGGGGCCGGGGGTGGTGGCACCTGAGTTTGTGCTCACAGGTTCCTTTGGCCTCTCCTGGCTGCCTTTGTTGTGCACAGTGAAAACCCAGGAGGGTAGGGGGTGTGTGGAGGCTGAAGGACTGGAGGTACAATGTGAAGCCATGGCTGGGCTGCCTGGATTAGGTCGACAGATGTTTTGTGTGGAAGCTCCACTGTGGCGTGGAGCTTGGACATGTCCAGACTGTCCCATATGGTGGTTGTATGTCTGTTTAACTTCCACGTGTGTTTTATGCTCTGAGCATCGCACCTTTCTACGAAGCCTGTTGTTTTTCCTCTTCCGTTTTCCTGTTTTCCTCTGTGGAGCATCATCAGAGGTGAACACATGGATCCTAATGTCTGACATAGCTCCAGTTCAGCGGGAGTTAAAAGGAAAGATTCAGCACTTTCACTTTAAATGGGTCACCCTTAAAGACAGACAAAAATTATTAAACCCTGTCTTGCTTTGTGGAACTTGCACAGGCAAATTTTCCTCAATTATTCCGTTTTTAAAGTTTTGCTCTGTTATCTGTTCATATATTGTCACAAAAGCACTTCTTTACTACAGGGACTCAACTTCCTATAAACTTGGGGCTTCCCAAAATTTAAACATGTGGCTGTAGCAACTTTATGTGACATGACATAGCATATACTGGCTTTATCTTACACACGACTGCACAGGTGACTTACACATTGCTGACACAATATACAAACGAGTGAAATACACAATTAATGTCCTAACTAGCTCGTAAATTTAAAACAAACATCGATCTGCTGACTTCTGTTTTTTGACGCTAACGTGACCTGCTAAAGCTTAATACAGATATATTTGCAGGAAAACCGCCTTAACGTGTTTGTGAACATAAGCAGTTGATAGCGACATATTCCATATTAGGAAATCACAGAAAATAACCTTGTCAAATATAAAATTAGACCTACAGCACAGCGCCGACCACTCGATTCCTGCTCACAAAGAGCTACCTACTTCCAGGTCCTGCTGCCTTCGAGTACACTCAGAAACTGGGAGAAATGGTTCAATATTGGTGCCGAAATAACTGTCCCACGTGAAAGATATCTACTCGATTTCATGGGGCGTCTTTATTGAAAATCTCTTGATGACTATTACAATAACATTAAAAGCTGACAATTAACAGTAAGGTAATAACAATGTCAGTAACAAAATATGCCATTCTCCTCTACTCCAAGGGCACTACAAACAGAATCAGAATCAGCTTTATTGGCAAACATAAGGCTGTGTAGTATAACGAAATAAACAGTATAAAGAAGCAATAAACAGTGCGAACAATGCAAAATAAACAGTATAATCAGGCACTAAACAATGAGACAGACAAAGGAATGTTCATTAGGAAATGAGATAAAAAATAGAATAAAAACTGAGTACTTAAAAATAGAGACCTGTACGAATCTGTATAATCTGTACAATGTATATTTACCGGTATTTCACTGGGAGAAGGTATTGCACTGAGGGTTATTGTCCAGTCATATTGTCGTGGGTTAAGTGTGCATCAGGGTGACAGCCTGGGGGAAGAAACTGTCCCTGTGCCTGGTTGTCTTGGTGCACAGTGACCTGTAAGACCATCCAGAGGGGAGGAGTTCAAACAGATTGTGTCCTGTGTGTGAGGGGTCTGCAGAGATCCTCTCTGCCCTCCTTTTGATGACAAACAATGACAATATTCTATTATCCATGTGATTTTATTTACATTTTATTAATAAAAGTTGGAAAGCAAACCTCTAAGTATTGTTTAAAAATGAAAACTTAATAAATGACAAAAGCAAAAAGCAAAAACATTTCAGACCTACAAAATTTTAACTTTTTTATTTTAGTGCTATAAATACTTTTATTATATATTTATTACATTGTAAAAATCCTCTGTGTATTTTCTGTTATCCAGGCTGCTGTATTCACTCACCGCAGCCCAGGATAGTAACCTAACCTAAGTTGATAATGGGTGAATCAAACTATCCTTAAAATGTCCTTGTAAGACGATTTTTTCTATACAGTACATATGGAACTTGAATTGAGTCAACAATGCAAGTAGATTTCTTGTTTTATGTTAAAACAGAAATTACGGGGAGCACCTGAACGCATCGGTGTTCCACATGTGCGTTACAGCTTAGCTAACGCTAGCTAGCTACAGTAGCTAGTGGCTACATGCAATAAACCTTTATGGAATGAACTTCATTACATTTAGGTTATAAATGCTGATTTTGAGACCGGGTTAGATGTCGACACACTTCGTGTTACCCGGAAACTAGCGTTGCATTGACAAGCTAACTTATGTTAGCATTCGCTCGCCTTTCAGTCCCATGTCAGTTGTCAGCGGCACAAGATGTGGAGATGTTTACACCAAGTCTTTCAGCAGAACAGCAGAGAGAGTTGGCCCAAAGACTCACCGTCTTTCTGTCTCACTACAGCCACTTGTCCGACTCCTACATAATTGTGCGTATCCATAATTGACTTACGTGAGGCACATTGCAGCCTTTGCAGTTAATGACAGAGTGAATTGTTTTTGGAAGAAAATATTTGAAAACTGTTCTGTCGTGGCATCTTACGTTTGCTTCACAATAAAGCATTCATGCTCGTGCATACACTGTAGGCTATTTGTACCTAGATTTTGTTCACTAATCATTTGTGAGCCATTGATATTCAGGTTTTCATTCCACCCAGCTGCTTCCACTGCCCTCTCTGTCTGAACACCAGTAAGATCAGTGAAATTGTGCAGCTATGAAATAAAGTCCTTTATATTCTTGAGTTGAGAACCAGGTTGGATGAATAACCAGGCAGTGGTCCAAACAGTACCCAGTTAATTGTCTTCTAACTTGGTCACTTAAAGCTTGAGTGAAGAATAATATCAGCTGAGTTGTAGAGGGGCTTTGTGCCAAAGTCCATTTTTTAGTTTAGTTTATATTGTGCTCACATGGTGCATTTTCCTAAATAAATGTGTTTCATCAAGTCACTATAAACCTGGGGTGGGGCAGGTGTAAGAAAGCTGGTTGGTTTCTGAGTATGTGCAAAATGAGTGAAGCTGCTTTCTGTACATGGTTTTGCACCAAACCAGATGTTTGCCCCAGATTATCCAGACATGATTAAGAACAACTGCATAGAAAGGAATAGGTTCACCTAGACAGTTTTGACAGCTGGAATGTGTTTTGTAGTTCTTCTACTGTAGTAGCATTCACTTTGTTACTTCCCTGACAGGAGTTCTTCACTGAAGACCTCTGGCACACATTACCCAGTACCTGGCAGCCTGTGCTGCAGGACCTGTCGTATCCACAGATTGCAGACCTGTTACTGGATGCTACATATGGAGACAGGAGGTATTACTGGATTGTAATGAGGCCCTTTACAAATCCTTACTCAAAATAACAGATGAGTGTAAGGCTGGAAACCTGAGCGTGAGACAGGAAAATGAAGCACAAACCAGGGTTCATCCACAATGGCAAAGCTTTGCAGGGCTACTTGGCCTCATGATGAATTTCTGTAGTAGGTTTGTGTTTGTCAAGTCTGGAGGAACTAGGTTTTAGTCTAGACCTGTCAAATACACTGACAGCGTATCAGTTCTGAAACTACTGATGTGTGATTACAATACAGAGATGCTGAAGCATGGGGATTATTTTATGGGAATGTAGTCAGCGTGTAGTTTTGGTCTCTTATGAAAAACTATGTAATAACACAAGCCGCATCCTTTACATAATAACTGTAGAACCTTTTGTCATTGCAGATATTCCTCAGTGTGGCCTCTCTCTCTTTTGGCTTTCCGTGCCACAGCTCATGCTCTGGCGTTTCCCAGAGAGAGCAGGTGGGAGCGTGGCAGGGCAGGCAGCTCAGTGAGGCCTGAAGAGTTCCTGGAGAACCAGAGTCAGAGTTCACTGCTGGGCCACATCTTCAGGAAACACGTCAAACCCAAGAAACAGCATGAGATTCGCAAGCTGGGCATGGTACAGGATTGCTTGTTTTCTGTGTGTGTTGTCCTTAAACACATGGACTCACCATTGTGTCAGTGTTTGTAATCTGTTTTATTTTTAATCACAGCTGGTGAAGCAACTTTGTGACCACACTGACTGCAAGACAGTGGTGGACGTGGGCTCTGGACAGGTACGATTCCAACCTTATCACCCAGTTTTGAGATAACAATGGAGCTCTGTGACAGAGAAAGATGCACAGACAGTACATGGATTGATTATGTTGGTCTGCACATGGGATAAAAACAGAGAATATGTTTCAGGTTATCCTTTGATATACTACCTGGTTTAGGTCAGCGGCTCCCAGAGCGGGTGCCATGGGGACAGGTGAAGGGTGCCGCACTATTGTCTGTTCATTTATTGCGAGTTGTTAATAACGTCACCACATTACGAACAGCAGTGTTTATATTAACAACATCCAGCGATGTCCTACAGAAAATTACATGTGCTGCGATGTACTGTACAAAGGACAAGAAACGGTCTGTGGTGATTGACCTGCAGGTTGTGCTCTGTCCACACATCATCGGCAGACTCACATTAAAATGCCTACACACTTTTCTTGTCCTCATGTACCTTAAATATAAGTACATTCTCATTTTGAAGAAAGAGAGTATTCAGTTTAAACATTCATCTAACAAATTGATCAAACCTGCTGTGATTGACACAGGGCCTACATATATAAGTATACACACTATTGTGTTGGGGGTCAGGTGGCTCAGGGTGCCCCTCTGAACAGGTGCTGTGGTCTAAGAAAGGTTTGGTAACCACTGGTTTAGGTTATGCTACTAACATACTTGAGAAAAGATTGTGCTTACAGTACTACAAATTACTGGCACCGGACGTCAACAGTGACAATGCAAAATCTAGCAGTATGAACACAGCTGCTGTGATACTGTACTGATAATACACTGAGTGAAACATGAACACACTGACGCATCACATTAATACATCATCTTTAAGAAGAGAACACCCAGATGGCTCCTTGGAGGGAAGCTGGTAAATCATGGTACCTCATGCCAGCTGGCTGTGTACAGCGCCTGAGGTGACGCAGTGAGGCATCACACATTAAACAGTGAGATTTGTCTACCGCTCTGCTCTGATCAGGGTCACCTGACTCGTTTCCTGTCCTTCGGGCTCGGACTGTCTGTGACTGCTATCGAGGCCGATCCCGCCCTGGTGGCTATGGCGTCCAAGTTTGACAGACAGTTGCTGTGGGTGTTGGAGAAAGAGAAGCAGAAAAAGGTAGGTGCTCTGTTGAACCTGTAACACACCATGAGTTTACAAAGGCTTGTGTTTTTAAAAAAAAAAGCACTGCCTTTGTCAAACTCACGTTCCTTGACTGAAACGTTCCTGAAAGTCAAACACTGAAGCTTTTTGCAGTGAGATCTATTAGCATTTACACTTTTCACTCTTATTCCATGATAGAGAGTGCACCAGATATATTTTCATACCCCATCTGTAAAGTAACGTCTTTTTTCAAGGGGTTTGCAAGTTGCATTCTGGGAATTGTAGGAAATCAATAACTGGATTGATGTTGCCTCACTGCACATTGTGTTGATGCTCTAACTTGCAGTATACAGTTTTTTATGAACTGTGTTGATGCTTTCATCATATTAATACACTAACACTGGACAGGAAATTACACTTAACAAACAGGGTAAGTTAAAGTGAAGAGCCTAGAGAAAGAACGGCCTCCTGGCAAGTTCAGAGTGACCAGCTGATGTCCAACGGTGTACAAACATTCAAGAGTGAAATATAAACCTGGAGTGGCTGATGTTTGATCACTTGGGGGCAGCGAAAATAAGCTGTAAATCACCTTTTAAGATGTTTTGTTGAACTTATTAGCAAAATGTGGCACATTTGCACATCTAGCAGCAGATATGATGCAGCATTGTTGTTCATCTAGTCATGTTTGATCAGTGTAAGAGCAATATTCATTCTCTTTTCAGGTTTGGTTTGCTCTCTGCCAACCAAACACTTGACTCTGTAGCTGCTTAATGCTCCATTGTATCTGTTTGCTGCTGAGCAGGGAGTGGACAAAGTTTTGTCACTGCCAACAGCTGCTTACCGCAACTGGAAAGGTGCTGTGGTGGGTGAGAGTGAACTGAAACATGCTAAGAATGTCCTTAGAGCAGAGGGAAACTGTAGTCAGGTGGTAGTCATTTGTGAGTTAGTCAACACAAGAACACTGTTAATGTTCAAGTGTGACAAAAATACTGATTATAGCATCTTAAAGTGGAAAATTTCATTTACTCCTTTTAAAGATTACTGTACATCAAACCACTGTCACCAAAATTAATAAACATCTTCCTTCTTCTTAGAGCTGCTCCTCTCACTTCTCGGTAACACAGCCCTGTCCCCACCATGTCACCGGTTGGGTAAATCCCAAGGCATCATGGGAGGCCTTCACCAAGCAGCTGAGTGCTGCAGGCTGTGTCGGTGAAAGTCCCCCAACTCCATCTGGACCCAGTAAAAAGAGACTGCGGGGCTCTAAGCATCAGGGACATGTGGTCCAGACATCCATATCTCCTGGCTCCACAGACTCTGATGCTCACGTGACATCACAACACCAGCTGACCACAACCGAGCCTGAAGAGGCATCATCTGTCTGTCAGGAGGGAGCACATCCTGAGGACAACAGCCTGCAAGGCCATGCAGACTTTGTTCTGACTGGTCTTCACGCCTGCGGTGACCTCAGCCCCACCCTCCTCCGCCACTTTGTCAACTGCCCACATGTTTGTGGCATCACCTCTGTGGCATGTTGCTACATGAAAATCACAACCAAAGAGAATCCCACCCCTCCAGGACTGATTGAACCTCCCACTCCACCAGCACCTGGTCAGGATTCAGTCCCTTCTCAGTTTGGCTACCCAATGAGCTCCTGGGTTGGGGGGTTGCCGGGACATCAGCTCTCCTATAAGGCACGAGAGGGAGCATGTCACGCTGTGGAGGACTATGTGCGGCGGCTCAGGGAGGAGAGCAAGCTGCTGGTGACACACTGTTACAGGGCGATGCTGGAGACCTTCATTAGGGATACGAGGCCGGATCTACGCAGGGCAGGAATCCAGACCATAAAAAAAGCCCATCTGGTACCCTTTACAGAGTGAGTGAGTAAACAGTGCAGCACCCAGACACTTACATCAGCTCTAATTTCAGCAGGCCTGATATCACTGCACATTGCACCATGCTGCTCACAGGAGGAAAATCCCAGAATTTACATTTAATCCCAAAACTTAGATTTACTCAGTTAAACTGTACTGTAGGCCAGTTTGAATAAATGTCTCTTTCTCTGCAGCTGAGGTAAATAAATCCCACTCTTTCTGTCTACACCTATGTTCCCCCACAGGTACGCCCGTCTGGGTCTGTCTCGGGTCGGCCTGCCTCCTGAGTTGCCTCTGGACCTGGAGCGGGTGGAGGCCATGTTGAAGCAGCAGGGCAGGGTGGTGGTGTACTTTAGCCTGGCCCTGCTGCTGGCTCCTGTGGTGGAGACGCTAGTGCTGCTGGACAGGATGATCTACCTGCAGGAGAACGGTGAGCCGCTGGACATGACACACATTGTAATAAACTGCTGCGATGTTCTCCTTCAGCTCTAACGCCTCATCTCCCTGCAGGTGTGGACAGTCAGCTGGTTCCTCTCTTCGACCCACACTTCTCTCCAAGAAACTTTGTGCTCGTGGCTCAGAAACCTCGATAGTGTGGTGAACCAGGGAAGGTCCACAGTCACAGATGGCAGGTGACCTAAGTCTTAAGGTTATTTTGATTTCAGCCTGTTTTTAGATAGATTAAGTAATGAACATCTAAGGGAAGGCGTTTTTATCATCTGAGCTGCGGACATTTTTTTGCCAGAATGAGGACAGCTGATGGACAGTTTCACTGTGACACAGGAACATACTGGGATCTCAGTTCTGCATCCATGAACATGGAACAATGGACAAACATTTGCACGTCACCCTGGTTATCACTCAGCGTCTTCATGGTGACACACAGAAGGCATTGTGTGTTTGGCACAGTTTGGATTCTGCGTACATTGACATTATGATTTAGTTATATTGAATTGCTTCTCTACTTTTTCTAAAGCACTACAGGACGAATGTGTGCTTCAATGTATGTGGACCTCAAAACAATAAACAGTGTTTTTAAATTCAGTTGCAGACGTTCGGCTAGTTTTTGTATTTTTCAAATGGAAATAAATGCAGTGCGTGGTTGGCAGTTCAATGTAATTCATAATAAGTAACTAGAAACGGTAACAGGTAAACACGGTGAAGTAAAAAGTACAATATTTCCCCAAGTACAAGTATAAATCAGGATCAAATAGAAATACTGATCTTGTGATCAATATTGGTTCCTATCAAAAGAATTTTCCAAACAGAGCAAAAAAGTCACTGGAGCGGTTATAGCAGTATTCTTTACTTGCAGCAAGGAGACAAGTCAGCATGAGCATACAGAGTTGTCTGAATGAGCTTAGTCTAAACATCACAATATATAGGAGAAAGGGAACTCCCTAAAGACGCAACCCAGGTGTTAATCAGGTTGTAAAGTAGATTTAAATAATAAAAGGAAGTTGAAGGGTGTTGCCCTGATAACCCCTTAGACACCAAACAAGCTGTTGCACCTGTTTATCTTCACAATATATGGCAGACACAGTTTATGGCTGGCTCCTTTAGGTCTGGAGCGCCATTTGGTTGAACATATAACAACACACAGAGTACTAAAACAAAGATAAAACATGTCTTTCAGTTCACACAAGCAGTTTCTCTTTTCTGAAAGTTTATAATCCATTGAATAACATATAGTGATTAATATATTGATTACAACACAGTTTAAAACATATTTAATAATGTAATTCTCCTGACACTTCCTCTTTATCATATTATACGGTTTTTACTCCAGTATATGTTAATATACTTCCATTATACTTTGGACATTGCAGTAACCTTGTATATTTTCAGAGACCTGGACACACTGTTGTTGTTAAAACTCACATGTTAACGCTTTATTGACATGATCCTATTATTAGTGCTGAAATACTTTCCATGCCGAGGTCGGGTTTATTGTGCTAGCTCCCTGCAACCACTTTCACCCCCAGGTACACAGAAAGAACAAAAGCAAAGCCAGATGCTGGGCTTCTCACAAAGCTGTTTATACCTCAGAACAAGAATGCTGCTCTGAGACCAGTTTGGCTTTCACAGTGTGTTGAGCATCTTATTGATATGTGAACTCACCAGTGGTCCTGAATCAGTGCCTTGTTTGTAGAAAGTTCATTCGTGGATGTGTACTCCACCTCCTCAGCTCAGCAGCAGAGACACTGGTGTCAAACCTCCAAAGACACAGGGCTGGTGTTGAGATTACTGGGAGCCATGGAGCCTTTGGTCTTGGTGGTTTGGGGGTTGCTGCTGTCTTCCCAGCAGGCACACAGCATTAGAGATGGCAGCTCAAACTGCAAGCCGGTCACAGCCAGCTTTTGTCAGGGTGTGGGATACGCCACTACCCTCCATCCGAGCGGAGTTCAAGGTTTCAACCTGAAGCAGATTGGTCAGATTGTGGAGACGGCCTGCTCACCTGAAGTGGCCACACTCATGTGTCGGGTTGTCGTGCCAGAATGCAGCTCGGAGGATGAGAGCCGGGTGAAGCCATGCAGATCTCTCTGTGAAAAGGTCAAGACAGATTGCGAGTCCGTGCTCAGAGCGAAGAGGCTGCTCTGGCCAGTGAGGCTCCAGTGTGGAGCTTTACCCGAGTCTAACTGTGTTCAGGTAAGTGTCAATGATGAGGAGATCAACTCCTGTGTTGGAAATGTGTTGGGTTGTTTTTGTTTTTTCACATAGCTGTAGGAACCACTGACTTACACATCATTTAAAGAATTAGTCACATGACATTCTAAACAATATGCATTTGCATATAACCAGGCTAGCTGTTCCTACCTGTTTCCAGTCTTCATGCTAAGCTAATCATCCTCTGGTTGTAGCTTCACATATATTAGACAGCAGAGAGTGGTATCTAGTTATGCAGCTCGCAGCAAATAGAGTATGATGTAAAATGTCAAACTGTTCCTTTAAGGGGCAGGAGGGAAAACACACAACCACCACAGCAGCAGGGGCACAGTTTAGGTCATCATTTTTCACTGTCATGTCACAGAGGCATCTGATGGGGTGATAGGAGCAACCACCAGGCCACTTTGGTCAACCGCCCAGGTCTACTGGAAGGCCAGTGTCCTGGCAGAGCAGAGACAAATCTTAGCTGAAGTTTTTTGTTGATAATATGCAAAAAAGGAAAACAGGTAAGGGTAGTTATGTCTGGTGAGGGCTACATATTGTTTCTTTATGTTTCTCTTCTTCCAGGGTCAGGTCATCGCTGTGTCTCCAGCCTCCACTGCAACATGTCAGGCAATCACCATCCCTGTCTGCAAAGACCTGCCTTACAATGAAACTGTGCTGCCCAATATGCTAGGCCATAATACTCAGGACGATGCAGGCCTGGAAATACATCAGTTTTATCCACTTATTGAAGAGGAGTGCTCCCCTCATCTGAAGCCTTTCTTGTGCTCCGTCTACACTCCTGAGTGTGTGTCTGGAAAACCCCGTCCCCCCTGCAGGACACTCTGTGAGCAGGCACGGTCCAGCTGTGAGCCACTGATGAGCAAGTTTGGCTTCTCCTGGCCTGAAGCACTGAAGTGTGAAGCACTTGGCACAGAATCATGTGAGCCCGTAAGTCTGCCTTTTACTCTAACATGAAATTGAAGAGACGTTTCTGAAGATGCACCAGTGCAAACTTTTGTGCTGAGTCCTGAGTACTAATAATGTCACTCCAAGGCTCCACTTGAGCCACTAACATACCAAATCCATTTAATATTAATGTGGATTAAGCTGGCATGCACCTTAAACTGCATGCTATCTTAAGATGCATTACTGCCACCTGCTGGACTGGACTGGAAAGTGGCAATGGGCCATACTGGTTTGAAAAACACATCTGATAACCTTGGATCAGTGGGGGCATTGAAGAATTGCAGTGCAGATTTTAACAACACTGGCCACAGAGGGCAAAACATAAACACAAGGCCCGAAGATAGCAGGGTGGGGGGTGGGGGTTGTTACAGCTTGGAGAAACACTTCTAGGCCAGACCTGATTTATCTGAGTTTGTGCTCCGTCTTAGTTAATGCAGGTTTAACAATACTGCTATTGGTAACACTCTGGGGTATGAGTTTGTTGACATTTACAAGAATGTTTACATCTCCGAAGCCACTAGATGTAGTTTGCAATAACACTAGTCTTTATCTTTAGAGCACATTTCAAAGAAAAAAGATGAATGGTGGTCAGACAAATCTTGGTTAAAGTTACTTTTTTTAAAACACATGTAAGCAATACAAGAAAAGAGGACGTCACGTGGTGATGAAAGATGAAAACTGCAGGAGCAAAAGTATTGTTCATTCATACGTGAACACAGATTTATGTTTCTCTTCTTCCAGGGTCAAGACATCAGTGTTATTCAAACATCATATACAGCATGTCAGACAATCACCGTCCCTCTCTGCAAAGACCTGCCTTACAATGAAACTGTGCTGCCCAATATGCTAGGCCATAATACTCAGGACGATGCAGGCCTGGAAATACATCAGTTTTATCCACTTATTGAAGAGGAGTGCTCCCCTCATCTGAAGCCTTTCTTGTGCTCCGTCTACACTCCTGAGTGTGTGTCTGGAAAACCCCGTCCCCCCTGCAGGACACGCTGTGAGCAGGCACGGTTCAGCTGTGAGCCACTGATGAGCAGATTTGGTTTCTCCTGGCCTGAAGCACTGAAGTGTGACGCATTTACCACAGAATCATGTGAACACGTAAGTCTGCCTTTTACTCTAACATGTGATGAACAGGTGTGTACAATATTAAAGCCACAATGGGCTGAAATTTTATGTGATTATAGTTGCATTCTAAGTGGTCTGATATGATGCATGCATATTTTATAACTTTTTAATGTTTTAACATCTTATTGCAATGACAAAAAAACTAAATTGATCACAGGCTGCTCAGGCCTGACCAGAGGTTAGACTTATTTCATGCACTTATTTCCTGCCCCAGTATGGAGTGGGCAGCAGTGGGGGGATCTGTGAGCCCATCACCATACCAATGTGCCAGGGCCTGTCCTACAGCCAGACCACCTCTCTGAACCTTCTGGGACTCACGAGTCAAAGAGAAGCCATGACAAAGATGTCCATTTTCAACTCAATGGTGCAAACTGTGTGCTCAGTGGACATTCGTCTCTTCCTGTGTAGGGTGTACACCCCCCAGTGTGTGGCAGGGGAAGTACAGCGGCCATGCAGGGCTTTCTGCAAGAGGGCCAAACAGGGCTGTGAGGGTTTGATGGCCCATTTCGGCGTTTCCTGGCCAGATGAGCTGCAGTGTAATTCATTCCCTGAGGAAATGTGCATATCAATAAGTGCTGGACACAGTTAATGAAAACAAACTTAGAACAGTTCAGTTTAGTGAAGAACTTGAATCAGAATATTTCTAAAATGTTGCATCAGTGGATTTTTTTTCTAGTTAGCTCAGCATGAGATCTTCTCTTCCTTTCCTTTCACAGGAAGGCAGCCGGCCTGGGGTGTTACACATAAGTGTTTTCAGACATTTAATCTCTACACTAAAACATGCTGTGATTGCTCAGTATATTATGTCTAGATTATTTCATATTTTCTATTTGTTACTCATTGCAACTTGTATTGCTGCAGTTCTTAGTAGGAAAGGGGCTCAACATGGGGTGTGTAGGTGGGTCAAAGGCAAAGTTCTCACCCATCACTGCTGAGTTGAACTTGATTGTGCATTTCAACACACACATCTGACCCCGTGTTTACAAACGAAGCTGGTGGATCCTTGTGCCTGCACTAATGAATCTTTGGTGAGGGCTTCTCCATGGGGGGTGTTGAACTGAGGGGGCTGCGTTCTGCATGTAAATCCCTCACAGCACACAATTAGCAGAGACAAGAACCACCATGCAGGGGAACTTTACAGTACAAACTGGAGAGAAAGCTGAATATATTTTTTTAAAAGCACAAAATAACAAAATCTTAAATGTATCCTGTGAAGATTTTGACTATTACAAGTAGTTTTTTACCCCTGCTAACGGTTTTACAGTATTTCACTGACTGACAGGAGACTAATGAGCCAAGAAATGCTACAAAGGTGACAAAGAAGCCCACCAGCAAATGAACTATTCAGGTTTCAAACTTTAAAAAAGTCAGATTTGTAGATTATTTATAAGGAAGGAAATGCATTCAACATTTAGGCTTCAAGGATGCACAGTGTTTTTCTGAGTAACACTAAATGTACACAGAACCCTTTTACAGGAAAACTCCACAGGGAAGCTTAACATCATAACTGACTCTGATTTTTACCCATTCAAAAGGTTTGACTGCAGCAGGACTGTGTGTTGCATTGTATGCTTCAGTGTTACAAACAAAATGATCCAGCTATAAAACAGTGCTCCATTTTATACAGAGCTGTAGTGGTCTGAAACTCCACATGGTGCCTTTAATTGACACTCGAACAGCCACTGGAATTTTGTCTTCTAACTTATGTTTTGGTGCACATACAGCGTGTTGGAGAAAATAAATCACTGCCATTATTTTAGTGATAAAACTGTATATATTGCACTTTTTGTATTTCACCTCAGAGTTATAAAATGACTGCATGCTGTGTGAAGCAGTAGCCTACATTCATCTAACTTCATGTGTTCATGTTTCCAACAGATGCTGAATGCTGAAGCTGTTCTGGCTAAACTGAATGCTGGTGGTTATTCTGTTCATGGCAAATGTCAGTTTATTTTCAACTAAATTTAACAACACTGTCTTATCAACTGAACGAGAAGTTTTACACTCATGATCACATTTATTTTCCACAATTTAGCCCTGAGTTTGAAGACTGCCTGCCTGCTGTTGACTCTCATGGATGTATCCTTTGAAACCTACACTTCACTGCTGCCTAACATTCCTTTTGGGAAGACTGGACGAAACACTGTTACAGCCCTCCAGCCTGCTGGAGTATTCCTTTTGGGAAGACCAGATGAAAGACTGTTACAGCCCTCCAGCCTGCTGGAGATGAGGGCATGAATGAGTTTCTCTAACTCTTGTCTGGACAGGAGACCTCTGAGTCTTGCTATTTGTTTGAGATGATTAAACTCTGATTTAGTTATGGCCTTGATGTGACTGGTGAAGCTCAGGTCTGAGTCCATTATAACACCAAGATCTCTAACTTGAGTTTTTGACTTTATAGCTCTGAAATCAAGCTCATCATTAACTCCTGTCCTTTTCTACTTGTTGCCAAAAACAATAAATTCGATCTTTTCTTTGTTTAACTGAAGGAAATTTTATTGCATCCAGTTATTTACCCCTAAGCACTGACAGGGTGAGTCTAAGGGACCATAGTCACTTGGTAACAGAGCTAAATAAACCTTAGTGTCATCTGCATAACTATGATAGGCAACATTATTGTCATGTATGATCTGACCCCGAGGGAGCATGTACAGGTTGAATAGCAGTGGTCAAAGAATTGAACCCTGGGGGAATCTGCACATCATGGTGATCTGCCCAGATACTGCTGCTGCTGATTTCATGGTCTCTTTTTGTTTGATGGATTGATTCAGTACATTTTTAGCAGCACTTTCCTCTTTGTTTCTCCTCCTGCAACAGCAGCCAAGGTTCATGGGTATTGTAGTAATAGGACCCATTATGTATTAATGAGTACAGCTATGTTTTCAATTCATTTGAGCTCTTTAACCAGCACTTTCAGGCTGACAAGACTGGAGACCTTGGTGTAGTGGAGTTCTTCAAACTGGAGCATTATGTGGCTATTGTCAGGAGGGAGTATTTGGAGAGCTACGAGAGCAGGACTCCACCTTCTGTCACTCAAACCCAAATGAAAAAGGCTCTGTCTGCCCGTGGTATAACATTGTATCTTTAATAGTACAATACAAATATCATCACTTATCCTTTATCATTTCTTATAATTCTGTCATTGAACACAAAATGCAGAAGCTGATAACTGACTGAGTGATAATTTGGTCAGTTTTTCATCCATTATTGTCTCTGTCATGTAGAGTTCAATTTAGAGGATGAAACCTTCACGACTCTGTGGCATGAATACCGTTCCCAAGGAGGGATCGACTACGATGAGTACGTGGCAGTCCTGGCAAGGCTTCAGATCCTCAAAGGTAGATATCAACAGGCACAGTAAGTCCTCCAGTTTTTTGAATGTGTCTTTGATTGATGCTGGGGTCAGTTACCCAGAGCTTCTGTAATTTTACATGGTTGCAGGGCCGTAGCCACGATTTTAGAAATAGCAAGCAATAAGAGTTGAAGGTCCCCCTGGTGCCACCCTCAACCCCCCTATGAAATGTTTGACTAGCTCCAGAAGGTCTTGAATTTTGTTTAAACCAAACTTTTATTTATGAATTCAACTGTAATATTTCTGCAAGTATGATGCCCCTACACAGTTGTCTAAATGCCAGGAACTTGCCAATGGAGATATACTATATAAGACTATACAGTTTCTTTATTTGGCCTACATCTACTACAACTGTAAACTCATCCTCAGATTGTTTAAAAAATACTGAGGACATGGCCTCGGTGTCTGTACTGGTAGATGTAGCCCTGTGTGGTTGGCTAACACCTTGCCTTTTTCGCTTTATTACCATGACATTATTTGTTTTTCTGGCTGTGTTGTTGGGTGGAGGGTGAATGTGACCACACCATTACACAGCCCAAAAACACCACGATGACTGAACAGTCACATACTGCAGTTACTGTGAAGGAGACATTTCTACAGGCCTTGAGTTCAAACAGTCCAGAGTGGGAATAAAATTAAAGCAAAGCCAACTTTAATATATAGTTAAATATTGATCCATCAGTCCCACAGCTTTTATCTCAGATTGAGTTGACTTATTATTCACCCTCTTTGTCAAACATGTTGAATTACCTCCAGAGTGGAAGCCCCTGTGTTACTATTGTTTGTATTATATTGTACATGTATTTTCTAACAAAAGACCAGAATAGTTTGACATTTTCAAAGTCAGATCAGTTGTGAATTGACGTGTTTATGGTTGTGTTTGAGCTGATTTGAGCCCATTTGAGTATCATCATCACAGCATCAACAACCATCATGATTAGAATTTTCGAGCTGATCTGAGCCTCTCTTAGCAATATGTAGTGATCAAGAATTGTCATATAGCACATTTTGCACAGATACACTGTCTACTTTCAGCATGAACCTACAGAAAAGGAATTAAGTAGTATAATAGTATCATTTACCTACTCACCTATTCTGTTTACTGAGTTGAGTAACTTTATAATCTTTCCAAGGGCTATGATTTAAAACAAGACAAAACATTTTATATATTCAAGATACTGTGCACCATCTATATGTTGGTATATACAGGAACAAAATCTGGAGCACATCATCAGAAGTGAGCATAATACACACATTTTAACAGCGACTGGTTATTTTATCTTTATGTCTAATGCGGCGAAAAGCCCATTCTATTTTAAGTAACAAATATCTCTAATATGGGTAGACATAATTATAAGCACTGCATCAAGACATCACAATGAAACTCGGTGAAACTGCAGTGAACTTATTTATGTCACCTTTGATGGTTTAAAATAAGCATTATTTCCTACAGCTGAATGCTTAAGATTGTTGTTTTTGTACTGTTAATAATTCTGTTTTCTCTTTTCAGTTCATGAAGTCAGCCATAATCTGAGGATCAAACTGGGGCAGAGCTGAAAGGACCAAAGAAGAAATGTTTATTGAAATCTGTTACATAGCAGTTTAGTAGCACAGAGCCAGAGGACAAATAAATGATTATGAATCTGTCACATCTCCATTAATAAACCATAAGCATAAATTTACTGCCACGTATTATCAAAAACCTAAGAAATTTGACTCCAGCCCAAAGGCCCCCAAAGTGCACAACATTAAAAAAAAGAATAAATGCAGAATATATACAAGTTTAAAAAGCACAAGTTAAAGAGCAAAACATAGACTAACTGTTCATGAGTCTAATGACCCAGGGGAAGAAACTGTCCTTATGTCTGTTTGTTTTGGTGTGCAGTGACCTGTAGCACCAACTAGAGGGGAGGACTTCAAACAGTTTGTGTCCAGGATGTGAGAGGTCTGCAGAAATCTTCTCTGCCCTCCTTTTGACCTGTGAAGTCCTCCATGGAGGACAGGCTGGCACCCGAAAAAAGCTGCTGCTCTGCCAGCTAAAATGTTCAAACAGCTTCCACTATCGATGAAACACGGGGAAAAATGTCTAGACTGAGCTGTCAGATGTTCAGAAGCTCATCCCTAGTTAAAGTAATCCAGGCAGGGTTGCAGAACACCAAGAAGAAGAACAACAAAAACATACACAGCCCTGGTCGGCGCCATCTTCCAAGTCCAAAGAACCACCACCGTTAAAGTACATTAAACACTGAGAGCCCGAGTTTTTTCATATGAAGGTTTTTGCACCTTGTATGATTTATCAAATATATGAATTTCCTCAGCTGTTAGCTACCTGAGGTCCATCATTGTCTGAAAATATTGTATATAACATGACTGATGTGACAATCTAGACATATGGCAGGATGCTTTTACATATTAAGTTATGAAATAACTTTATAAATATATAGTCTATAAGTATATAAACTAGTAAGTTAGTGAGTATATCCAGTCTCTGCCTCATGTTTTCCTGGCCTTCTTTCCTGGTCATTCTCCATCCCGTCTCCAGCTGTTCCCAGATTCTCACTCTGACTCTGTCTGCTGACCTGCTTCTCATTTCCTCATTGTCCTGTCCTAACTCCCACACACCACACCTGTCCCCACTTCCCTGATCAGCTCTTCAGTATCCTTACCGCCTGCTTCCCTTTGTTCCCTGCCAAATCATCTTGTGTGCTCTCCATATTCTAAATATTCCAGCCAGTTAATTCCTAGTGTTCCCTGGGTTCCCCTGATGTTGCCAGAAAGTCACTGGTCCACTCTAGCCTGGTGTAGGATGGAGAAGATCCTGTTATCCAACACTTTGCTTGTTCCTGGATCCGCCTGCAGGGCCGATGCCCTTTCAGCCCCTGAGCCTTCTTCTTGGTTGGCCTCTTTGTCTACTGGTTTCCCAGGAGCCGGCTTACTTTGCCAGCACCTCCAGCAGATGTCACTCCAGAGTTGACCTCCGTTTCCAACTCCAGGTCCAGAGTCGACTTCCACAGCTGACACCCAGCCTGGCTACCAGTCTGCCAGCCAGCCTGTCCTGCATCCTGCCTCAAGCCGATGGTCTTCTCTCCCTTCTGAGGGTTTCATCACTGGACACCTGCTCTCTGGTCCTCAGCACCTCAGCCTTGAGTTCGCCTTCCACAGGGACTCCACCTTCACCATCTCTGCCTCCCGCTCACCTTCCACAGGGAGCTCATCCCTGTTGCTGTTCTACCATGGATGTCACCACCACCCTCCCACCGACGCTACTGCCTTGTTGTTAATAAACCACATCTACCAGCCTGTCTGTTCTGTGTGTGTCTACATTAAGGTCCAGTTTCCTCTCTGTGTGCCAATTCTTATTGAAAATGTGATTATATCCATTTCAACATTTAAAGCCATAAGGCATGCTAACACCCTGTCACATGTCTTGCTCATGGTGTAATATGTTTACTAGTCATATAGCTTTTCAGACAATGATGCACCTATTTCTTGTTTATATTAAATTTCTTGTTATACCAACATCACTCACTGTAACTATAACTTTTACTTTGATGAAAAGATTGATTGATAATACATTTGTTTTAATGACATGGTTTTATAAAATAAGGACGTTGTGTGATATATAAAACATTGGAAAAGTCCCTTGTTTTAACAAGAAACGACAATTTTTTATCATACGTTTCAATTCAATAGAGAAAACACTCATCAAACCTTTGAAAAGGAGGATAAGCTTTACTGTGTCTAACACAAAGACACTGAGGAGTTAAATGGTTCAGTCCTGACCCTGAAAGCAGGATAGACCGGCTCAGTGAATGTAGTGTGGAAGGTGTGGATGTGGATTCGTTTGTCAGAGGAGACGCTGTAGAAGGACAGAGTGCCAGCAGGCCAGTCCAGGTACACTCCCACTCTTTTGGAGCGGGGTTTACAGATGGACTCTTCTTTGTTATCATGCAGGACAGAGTAGACTTGATCAGAGCAGCTCAGACTCCAAGACTGATCATTTCTTCCAAGACAGCAGTCGTCACCGTCTCCTCTCCTCCTGATCCCTCTGTTAAGTCGCTGCTATGTAAACCTGCCCTTCCCACTCAACCTCCCAATAACAGCGACCAGCTAAACCATCTGCACACATAAGCTGTTTCCAGTAGTCAAATCTGTCTGGATGATCAGGATATGGCTGCGTCTCTCTCTCCACTGTCACTTTTCTGTTGTGCCCTGACAGTACCAATTTTTTGTTTGCTGTGTTTGGGTCCAGTGTGAGTTCACAGGCATCTAACGGAGAGAACGAGACAAAAAACAGCTGCAGTTTCTATCTGACCAATGCTAAGTTTATAAGACTTATTAATAGTGATGCCCTGATACAGGGTTGTTTAGGCCCCAGTACAGATCCAGTTCCTTTCATATTAAGTATCTGCTGATATCGATTCCAATCCAATACTTATATTTACCTACATTAAATGTTCATTAAATATCTGACATATTGAAACTGAAATTAATCTGGCACACTGTATTTTTCAGGAGCTTCTTGATCCAAATACATGATGAAGTCCTGGTTCCAAAATATTGCGTTTATTAGCATAAATTATTGATATGAATGAAAGAACAAGTGGGAACTGGACAACACACTCTTAGTGTTATAGATTCAGAACAGGGCAGATACTAACTACTACTTTGTATCCGTATGTGAACACAGTTTGTGTAACTAGTCCAATTTAGATACCCCTGCAGATTGTTGGCTCTCTATGATGCATGGTTATGTCAAACCTTTTGTCAGTCCAAATCAATTATATGCATCTTTATTCTCATTATTTAAAAGAAGCACACTTACACTTCCACAGACCGGGTTTCATTCACTGTGATCCACCGTGGTCCACCCTGGTGCAAAAACAGTGAAATCAGCACAACTGTAATGTTCTGGTTAACTCAGACAATCCACAACAAACCCCACTGTGATCCCTTTTACTTTAGCATATAATCTGGTGTACTGTAAATAGTATCTGTGAAAACAGTTAACAGTGTCTAGGGAATATGCAAAGGAAGAGGCACGACAGTAGCCTACGCTAAAACCTAAACTTTGACTGTTATAACAAAATTAACATTTTTAGCTTTCTGCAGATGTAAGAAGAAAATGTTTTGTTTTAAAATATATTTTATTTTGCCCCCCAGACTCAAACAAACTCAGCCTACACCTCGTCTGTCCCCACCTGAGAGTGTCCAATCTGCAGTTTGGATCCTCCAGTGCAGCACGAAGCAGGTTCACTCCTGAGTCTCCTGGATGATTGTAGCTCAGGTCCAGCTCTCTCAGATGGGAGGGGTTGGAGCTCAAAGCTGAAGCTAGGGAAGTACAGCCTTTCTTTGTGATCATACAACCAGACAGTCTGCACGCACACGCACACACACACACAAGCTGAAGCCAGGGAAGTACAGCCTTTCTTTGTGATCATACAACCAGACAGTCTGAACACACACACACACACACACACACACACACACACACACACACAAAGACAGAGTTTAGTTATTTCAACTACACTACACTGTACATTGTCATCTGTCAGACAAACCAAGGCTCCTTACCTGAGAGATTCCAGTTTACAGTGTGGACTCTTCAGTCCACTGCAGAGCCGCTTCACTCCTTCATCCTGCAGGTCGTTGTTACTCAGGTCCAGCTCTCTCAGCCTGGAGGACTGGGAGCTGAGGACTGAGGCCAGAGCTTCACAGCTCTTCTCTGACAGATTACAGCAACTCAGCCTGAAGAAACATTAGCAATAAATGATAAATTGTAAGATTTTTTTTTGGTTTTAATATATTGAATTTATTTAATAACTTTTTTTACTTACAGAGCTTTAGTGGAGGCTTTGACCCCTGGCCATCCAGATCTTTGTCTGATGACAGTAAGATGAAGACCAGAGCCGACCACTGAGCAAGAGAGAGTTTTTCTGTGGAGAGACGTTCTGATCTCAGATACTGTTGGATCTCCTCCACTAGAGAACAATCATTCAGTTCATTCAGACAGTAAAACAGATTGATGCTTTTCTCAGTAGGATGCTCAGTGATCTTCTTCTTGATGTACTGGATTGTTTCCTGATTGGTCAGTGAGCTGCTTCCTGTCTGTCTCACCAGGCCCCGCAGGAGCTTCTGATTGGTTTCTAGTGAAAGACCCAGGAGGAAACGGAGGAACAGGTCCAGGTGTCCATTTGGACTCTGTAAGGCCTTGTCCACAGCTCTCTGGTAAAAATGTGTGACTGTGTTTCCAAACAGTTTAACCCTCCAGGGTACTGTTTGTTCTTCTGCCAGCAGATTGACTCTAGATGTGATGAAGGTCAGATGGACATGAAGAGCAGCCAGAAATTCCTGAACACTCAGATGGACGAAGCAGAACACCCGGTCCTGGTACAGTCCTTTCTCCTCTTTAAAGATCTGTGTGAACACTCCTGAGTACACGGTGGCTGCTCTGATATCGATACCACACTCTGTCAGGTCTGACTCATAGAAGAACAAGTTGCCTTTCAGAAGCTGCTCAAAAGCCAGTTTTCCCAGAGATTCAATCATCTCCCTGTTCTCTGGACTCCAGTGAGGATCTGTCCCAGCTCCTTCATCATACTTGACATTTTTCACTTTGGCCTGAACCACCAGGAAGTGGATGTACATCTGAGTCAGGGTCCTGGGCAGCTCTCCTTCCCATCCGGTTTCCAACACAGCCTCCAGAACTGTAGCAGTGATCCAGCAGAAGACTGGGATGTGGCACATGATGTGGAGGCTTCGGGAGCTCTTGATGTGGGAGATGATCCTGCTGGCCTGCTCCTCATCTCTGAACCTCTTCCTGAAGTACTGGTCCTTCTGAGGGTCAGTGAACCCTCTGACCTCTGTCACCATGTCCACACACTCAGGAGGGATCTGATTGGCTGCTGCAGGTCGTGTGGTTATCCAGAGGCGAGCAGAGGGAAGCAGGGTCCCCCTGACGAGGTTTGTCAGCAGCCCACCCACTGAGGCGGACTCTGTGACATCAGTCAGGACCTCAGTGCTGTGGAAGTCCAGAGGAAGCCGACACTCGTCCAGACCGTCAAAGATGAACATGACCTGGAACTTTTCAAAGCTGCAAATTCCTCTGGTTTCAGTAAAGAGGTGATGAACCAGTTCCACCAGGCTGAACTTTTTCTCTCTCAGCGTATTCAGCTCTCTGAAAGAAAATGGAAATGTGAACTGAATATCCTGGTTGGCTTTGCCTTCAGCCCAGTCCAGAGTGAACTTCTGTGTTAAGACTGTTTTCCCAATGCCAGCCACTCCCTTTGTCACCACTGTTCTGACTGGTTCGTCTCTTCCAGGTGGAGGTTTAAAGATGTCTTGACATCTGATGGTTGTTTCTGGTCTGGCTGGTTTCCTGGAGGCTTGTTCAATCTGTCTGACTTCATGTTCATCATTGACCTCCCCAGTGCCTCCCTCTGTGATGTAGAG